GCTACACAAAAGCCTGGGAACATTACAATTGAGTAGAAATACATAAATCACACTACAGAAGGCCACTATATTGAATACATGCCATATTGTTAGGAAATTCCTTAATACTGACACTGACACTGACACTGACACTGACACACACATTTAATTTTAGTTTTGTTTTGGTTGCTATGCTTTGACTCTGGTCCGGCATAGTACACAGCCACCAGTGTGTACTGAGTATAACCCACTAAACCCAACACATAATAATAATAATAATAATAATAATCTTGTTGTAAATACAGTATTTCATTCTAAATATAGCTCTATAACTTAAATAAATTCCCAAACTATTTTATTTTGTAAGTTAGTGATATGACTGACTGACAACCAACCATCAATGGCTGGATAGCTGAAATAATTAAGACGTCAACCTACTGCTCTGGGGATCTAGGATCGAATCCAGGCAAGCAAATCCAGAAATTTTCTCTGGGTGGAAATGCCAGGTAAGTTGGGACTCATCCTCACCACTCAGCCAAACCCATGATGAGCATAGGGAAAAAAATTCTTTTAGTGCCCAAAGAACAGAAAGAGTTAAAAATAAAAAATCCATCTTTAGTAGCAAGACAATACATTGTACTTAATTTATTAGTTGTTGATATACATTCCATGAAAAACTGATTGTTAAATTTATCAATGGAATGTTTTTACAATTCAAATAGGAAATTCTTATCAGAATGTTTTTAGCTTCTTTAGGTTTAAAAACAACCAAGTACAGAATGATAAATAAATAAACCAAATACATTCTTTGTTGACAAGAGACTCAATTTTATATTATCAATACACACAGTGCTATTAATTTTCAAGGAGTCAAGCTTACTCCTTAAAAATTATTACAAATTATCATTGAAAAGCTAAACATATTCAAAAATGATGTGTGAGATTTTTTATCATAAGAAAACATCCCATATATTAAGGCATATATATAAAATAAATTAATAAGCTGCAATATATCATATTTTATATCATGCTAATGATTAATAAGCAAATCTGATAATACATAAAAGTTAAAAATTCCACATATTTTTATATTACTTTAGTCATAAAATATATATTATCATATTTCAAATGCATTCTCAAAATCCATCTTATCTAAAAAATACAGTTTACAGAAACAAAACAATGAAAATAATTTAAAATTTTTATCAATTATTTAATTTTATTGAAAACATTAAATAATATATGAAATTGCTTACCATTTACAAATTTTATTTCCCATATCAAAATTTGAGCTCTTCCTCCCAAAGACACGAGAAGATGACTTACTACCGATATATCGTCTTTTATTTGTATACTTTTTATTGCTCGAATACTAGAAACATGGCCGTGCAAACAATGTACAAGTTCCAAAGAAGGCCAATTTTGTGAATTATCATCTGTTTTATGTTAAGTTACGCAAAAAGTAATTTTCATTTTCTCAATTTATAAAAAAAATAATGAAAAAATTATAATAATTTACTTAGTTTTAATTTTTATTTAAAATTATGATTATATTTTGCTTTTAATGGAGTGAAATAAATACATGACAAATCTTAAATCTTATGCTTCCGTGGCAACAAAATATTCTTGGTGTTCCTAAAGATGAGTTTTAAACTGAAAAGTGTTTGAAAGTTTAGTATTACATATTTATTTAATATTCCATTAAAAGTAATATATAATTATTTACAACAAAAATTGGTCTTGCAATACATTTACTGAAATTAAGTTTTAAAATTTATTATCATAATTAACTAAAATCAAATAATACTGCATACAAGAAACTTTTTAAAAGTTACATAAAAATAAGTATTGATTGCAAATACACTAACAACGATTTTAGAATTTTATGCATACATTAAAACTTAGGATATTTATATAATAAATATTCATACATTAAAACATTAAGTATTCATATAAATGTTTGAAGTAATTTAATTACAAATCTTTGATTTGTCGATTAAAAAATAAATTAGTAAATAGTAAAAAAGATACAAATAAGTTTTATAATCATCAAACTGTTATCTTCTCCACCACAGGCAAAAATATCTAAAAAAAAATTTAAATCAAAAATATGTGACAAGCATTATGTTTACCTTTAAAATAAATTTGTTTATAACATCATAACCATTACATTTCATCTTTTATCAATGTATTCTAAAGATATAGCTTTCAATTAATGTTTTCAAAAACATTTTCTATGGTAAATTTTTACTTAGGAAATGTTTGAAGATACTATCTCGATTGATGTTTAAGATTAATTTATTATGACATAACTGATTTCTTAACATATACAAATAATCAAAAACTTCAATCTTAAATTAAAAATCAGAAAAACATTTAATAATCTAAATTCTTTTAAAACATAAGATTGAAAGGATGCTTCTTGTGATAAAATTTAACTTCTGATCAAAAACAGAAACTAATGAATATAATAAAACACAAATAATAATTTAGTTGAAATTATGATAGCCCCTCATTATATTGCACATGCAAAGAGAAGCCAAATAGGCAATATAATTGATGTATCTATCCACTATTAGCCAAAGAACTTTTATATTTGAAAGATAAAAAAATAATTGTATTTATAATATGATAAATCTGAATGAGTGATACAATGAGCAGTTTCTGCTTTAGTTGTCTGTTTAAATACAGTATTGAAAGTTTATTTTTCAAATTCAGCATTGCAATGTTTTGAAAAATGCTACTACTTAAATTGCAGATATAGCATTTGAATATTTAAAAATATCAAACTGTTAAAATTTAAAAATATAATATAGATATAAAATATTTTTAACATAGTTTAAATGCTAAAAGAAATCACAGTTAATTTCAATTTTTATCTTTTTTTTCTGAGTTTTCATAAAACATTATTTAAGTTAAATTTAAATATATTAGTAAAAAATAATTATTAAAACTAACCTGTTGTTTCATCTAAATGAAACAGGAAAAGAATGCAACAAAGCTCTCGTCCCCATAAACTTTTCTAATATATACATAAAAATAGTTATTCAATTTGTTTATTATATATAATAATGTTTTTTAATTTAAATAAGTACAGTACTATAAAACATGCAAAAAATTTATTACCCTAAAACTTTGACTGTAAGCTGTGGCCTACAAAATTATATTTGTAAAATTCATTGTACATGCCCTATACTAGTTGCCCTTATACATTGCCTATGTATAAGGGCAACTAGTACGAGGGTTGTTCAATATGTTCTGCCTCCTGGGCTGTAACTCGTTTATTAATCAATGAAAGTGAAAGATATTACATTCAAAAGAAAGTGTGAAATGCCCTCTTTCTGAGGAGTACTTCATTTTTCAATATAGTCCCCACTGGCATTGATGCACTAGTTTCTGCATTACTAAACCAAATGATAGCACAATAATAGCCAAATTATTAATGGCAATAATTAATAATTAGAAATACATCAGTCTTTGCAATGTTGATATATATAGTTTCTGCATGCCATCGGAGAAGACCAAGACTGGCTGTTTATGACACCAACACCACACTGCATTGGTGACCTCTTCTTCAGATGCAAAATGCATGCCCGTGGGAGATGACAGCCAGGGGTTAGTGATACTGCGCAGTCCAAAGGTGCCTGTCATGACTTTAAATAATAGTCTCTCTTGTGTAAAAACAGGAAACACTATTGATATGGCAAAAGGGTTCCTGAATGAAAGTGATATCATAGTTGTTTAACTCTTAACAAAGCTGAGAGCTTGGAGCAATAGCCCGTCTGAGGTTAACTTAAAAGTATGAATTTGCAAGTTCCATAGGTGAGTATTGGTGTTGCCATTAAAGTTCATAGTCTATTCTTGACAATAGTTTTTCTTTCATCCGGTATGAATGGAACAGACTTTGTCTAATGCATTATGGTTGTGTTTGTCGAGTTTCTCCCAAATACAGTTAGCACAACTTGCTGTTCAGATTTCTTCTGGCAGTTTCTTTAACTGTGATCTCCCCACACTGACTGTAGACATGAGTCTGGGCCTCACAGTTCTTCACAAAATAGGCAAATTTGAGGCATTTAAAGCACTGTTTCAGCAGGAGAAAATCCACCTGAATAGGAGAAGATCAATCTGAACCTGCATACAGCAGGTTCAGATTGATCTTCTCCTATTTAACCATCAGCACCCTTAAGTCTGGCGTCATCTCTACAACCCAAGAAAGTTGTGGTACTGCGATGGCCTATGGGGAATCAAACTTTTGCTTTCCCAAGAAATTCCTCCTTAGAGAAAGCTTTCTGCAATAATCCCATTTTATTTAAAGATTAATTCTAAAGATGTTCCCTTTCAACAGACTTTGAAACAGAAATGACTTTAACAAGACAAAGTTACTTCCTGGGAATTGCAGACAGCTTCCAAACAGAGTATCAATGTCACCCTTACAACTAAGGTCAACTGCAACACCCCTTTTTGAATCCAATGGACCTGCTGAACCCTATCTTAAGGTGTGTGGACAATTTTACTGTCAAGAGCTTTCCTCATAAGCTCAGAATTATTACCGTCGACCAGTACCATATGAATAGGCTTGACAGAAACTGAAGCTGGCCCTGACAGGCCTGTTGGCTGCTTAACTGTGTTACAATAGGGTAAACCTGATACCCTAAAACCCATGCAGCTGACAGCAAAGACTGCCTGAACTGTCCCACAAATGGCCTCGCTCATCCATCTCTCATCCATCATCCATCAGCCATCCATCATGGCTCGCTCATGACAAAGCCATCTCAGTCCTCTCAGCATAAGAAGCAAGAGCAATTGAGAGATCCTCCTTGCTCCCCAAAGACCATGTCTTTTTCCAGAGAGTCAGGAATAAAGAAGGACAACAGAGTGGAATTGGTCAGATCAACCAGCTTTTGGAACTGCCCAGTAATATACTGGGAGTGTTCACATGTGCTGTCTTCCCGAGGTATTACTTGCTATGTAACAAGAATGTTACGGTTTTCAACAAGAAACCCAGAAGGGCCAAAAGCCACTATTCCCAAAAAGAGAGAAAAGAAAGAAAGTAAATAGAGCCAAACTCACCCAGAAACCCAGTGTGCCATTGAAGCTGGGAAAATCATTAAGGTGAGTTGCTATGGCAGTGAAGTGCAATCAAAGGGGTTTTCCAAGAAAACAAAAGAGTGGAGGGTGGGAAAACAGATTGGTGGTAAGTCCAGATCCTGGCATTCAGAGTGAACAAGTTACCAGGCACACCACAATAGCTGAAAATAGCTGCTGATAAGGCTGGACCAGGTCTTGGGCTTGGCAGAAACAAGATTCTATGTGGATAGTTGTGCAACTGGCTGAGGGCACGTAGCTAGTACTCACTGCTAAAAGTTTGGACATGTGGCAAAGGGTTGTATGGCAACAACCTAAAAGTATAGTAAATGTGCCGATGATCACTCGTACAAGGAGAGTAAGGCAACAGTGCTGAAGTGTTTAAACTGCATTATGGCACACAAAAAGTTTGGCCTTCAGCTCAGCACTGGTCATTCATCATTTTCAAATTCAAACAGGTTGCACTCAGAGTCCAGGCCAGGATCAATTATGGTCAGTAAAAGGGAACTAAGCTAACCAAATTCATGCAACCTAACACATACAGAGATGAAAGATGTGACTGAAATCTTGCAGTTTAATGCCAAAAGGTGCCAAGCCACCATCGTATGCAAGTCTAGGTGGCAGAGTGGGAAATTGACATCGTACCTAGTACAAGGAAAAGTTGGTGGTCTATCATTACAATGGAGCATATTTGCTGAAGATAATGAGTGTCATGCCACAGTTATCGCAACAAGGAGGAACATTGATGCATATGCTATCCAAATCTCGCGATTCATAGTGACTGTAGAAATAGTCACCACTCTTTATGTGGGTCATGATTTCCAGCTATTGCCCTCTGTCATTCAACAATGGCAGCCTTCTAGAGAAACTTGAAAAGGTTGTCTTTCCTCACAACTGGGTAGTTCTAGCAGGCAATTTTAATGCCAAACACTTGTTAGGGGCTTTAATATAGATGATCCAGCTGGGGAGACCATGAAGGAATCAGTGAAGAGTTGACAGGTCAACCTATGCCTTTGTACCTGATGTTGGCCAAACTCCAGTGAGTTGCAATTGGTTCTTGACCTAGATACTGTCCAGACAGGAGTAGTTTCCTCATTTTAAGTGCAAACTAGGACAAGGAGATAGTTGTTGTTCCTGTGGATGTCCACACAATGATGCAAGGTTTTAAAAGACTGATAATTTCTGTTCTGAAAGTAATATGGATCCAGAAGTAAAAGATAGTATAGAAAAGTTAGTGGGAGAAGCAAAACAATTTTTCTTTAATAAGCTGTATGTAGATTATTATAATAGGCACTACATACTTTACTACCCTCTTACTGAGAGCTTCCACCAGAAGGCTAACCACATTGACTGGTCAAAGCCTCCTTAGCAAGTACTTTGAATGCTAGCAGCAAGTAAAGGAAAATACAGACTAAAGGAATTGATGGAAATAGTAATAGGTCTCTCAGACCTATAGACTGTATTCAGCAAAAAAATTCTCAACAAATAGTACAGCTAAGTAACTTACTAACGCTTTCCATTTCTAACTTCCTGTTGTTACTAATCAATGTTATTGCGAGTGTGAGTATTTCTAGAAATATTGTTTATAATGCTTTCAGATAATGAGTGCAAATTTACACCCTAAACATATACTATGCAACATACTGTTCCACAGCTACTGTTTTAATTTTACAGGTCTACCATCCAATGATCTCAACAGTCCAGAGAAGGTGTCATCATTGCTTCCTCACAATCTCAAGATAATATAAAAGATAAAACAGAATGCTACAGTCACTGGAAAAGACTAAATGCAGATAACTCTTTCAAAAATGTTAAAAAAAAACAATAGTAGTTTAACCATCCTCTAATCATTCCACAGAGCAAAGAAGCACTGAGGAACCAGCATATCACTTACAAATTAATGCAGCTAAAACTTCACTCTATATTAATGATATATTAGAAAAAATATAAAATAAAAAAATGCCAGTTATATCTAAAGAATAGTGAATGTAGGAAAAAAAAATGTTTAGGCTAATGTTTGAACAGAATATTACAACTAATATTTATCAAGATCAATTTCTTTTATTATTTAATTAATTAATAGTGGATTACCAAATAAAGACGCATTTACCAAATTGCTAGAGTTTATTATTACAACTGGAATGATTACAGGTAAATTTCAACTAAGGAAAATTTCACTTTCTGCTAACCTTGATGAAACTGAAAGGGATTTGTTAATAAAGATCTGATTTGTAATCAGTAAACCTACAGTTGTATTAATTAATAATATTTCGTGACTGGCTTAAATATACTATTGTACCATTTAATTGTATTTAATATACTAAAGAATACAATTAAATGCCCACAGGAGAGTACAGTTAAAAAAAGATAACTTGTCAGTTATTTTCAAAGACCAATGTTTGAACAAATTATTGACTAATTACACACTTTCAAACTTTTATATGCCGTAAAAGCTTCTTTTGCGTAGTTAGGTATATGTAGTTTGTGTGAGATAAATTCAAATATCTCAAAAATAAATGTGTGGTCCAGTTTTTGATTGTTCAAAAATGCTATTTCTGATGTAATCATCTAATGGGTCTGAAAATTCCAAATTTTTATATTTGTTTTTCTTGATATCTTAAATTTGTTTCAGTATCCTACGAATTAAAATAATTTTCCGGCATTGTTCACTTGTATGTTGTTTAATTACAACTAACTGGAATTACAGAATGGAAGTACAAGCAAATCTTTCATACAGAGCATGTGCATGTTTTTGTTTATCCAGTCTATAAGCTCAGTGGATGCTCTGGGCAGGGCCTTCTTTTTCGGAGGAAGAAGACCCGCAGCCCAAAAAGTTAAACATCACCCCATTCTTGGTTGAATGCTTGTCAAACAGCTATAGGCTGTAAAACTGTATGTCAAAGTTAGTGAGTTGGACTCGAGAATGAGGAAAGAAAGGACGGCTGGTCCCAGTTGGGTCACACTGCCAGAGCCCAAGCACTTTTCTTGGTCCGACTTTATTGTTCGGTCACCTTAATACCATCATTAGGTGGCTGACTGCTTATGATTAAAATACAATCTCTTTGTACTTTGTAATGCCATTTGGCAGGGCAGTGTCAATAGCTGAGAGTTGTGATATGAGAATCCAGTTGTCTCAAATTGCATTATCATTTTCTAGACAGCCCATAGAGATGTTGGTCTGCAGCATAAATTCTTACAACAGTGATATTTGCAAATAACAGCTACAGTATTATCCCAATTTTCACAAACATACATACTAGAAAAGTGATGGCTAATGATAGCCATCACTTTTCTAGTATGTATGTTTTCTAGTATCTAGCTGTAGCTGATAAGAATGGCATAGTTGTCAGCATTTTTATATTCAGTCTCAATTGCATTCCACATGACTGTGACATTTGTGATATGTACACAATAGGTACATATCACAATTTTTTGCTTTCAGTGCCATAATTATATAAAACAGAATTAAAAAAGAGGGTATGAAAATTATTTTCTTACCTTAACAATTGATTTTTGCATAATATTATAAATGTTTTTTCTACCATAAAATACTTCATTTTTTCTAATGCATGCAAATGTAGAATTATAATTTTCATCAATTGAAAAGTCCCAAGATCTATGACCACCTCCACATGATATTTCCATTAATGATTGATTTAGATATAAATCCCAAACAACAAAGTTTGTCTGTAAAATATGAAAATTAATAAAAATAGCAATTTTATCAACAATTAACAATTTAAGGTACTTACTGTATGAAAACCCATTAATAGTAAGTGATTATTATAAAAATCTATTTTTCCAATCCATTCCATATCTGTAGTAATCTGAAAATTAATTATAATTAATGAATTGCATGAAAATATTTGTTCTGTTTGATCAAAACAAGAATCAATTTTTAAAATAAATCTAAAAAAAAAAAATGAAAGGTTATTCCATCCTTTTACACTATTACAGTGTAAAAGGATGAAATAACTTTTCATTTTTTTAATATTTATTTGTTCTAAAATACTTTTGTTTTAAAAAAAATAATGCAAGTTAAAAGGATTCTATTATTTGTTATCTTGTAATAGGTTTAAATTACATGAATACTACTTATTTGAGAAAATACATTGTAGAAAGTCTGTCACACTTCAAATTTAACCTGCTCACTTTTATTATTAATAACAAATTTTGGCATAATTCAGTTAACTATTGATGAAAAGCTTTACTATTGTTATAATTTAATAGCTGATTCACGATTAACTAAGTATTTGTTCTTTTAACCTTAATCGCATTGAAAATGTTTTTTTAGATTGCTTATAAATTTTTAAATTCATTTCTCACGGATTGTTCGAACATTTTTTTAAGATTGCAACTTTCTCTCTAACTTGTTTTATCTGATTTATAAAAGTTTATAATCTGACATTGATTTTATTGTTATATCTTCACTTTGGTTTCTTTTAATACTTAATTTACTTTGTATAAATAGCATTTGTCCTCTCTTCCCAGATGATCTTGACAAGGGTTTGGGTTTTACTATGCACCAGATATTAATAGTAACAATTTGATTATCACTGTAGTATCTTGTATATCCTTAAAATTAAATATTACACACAATTTCCAGATGTATTCTGAGATTCAAGAATTTCAAAACACATCTGGATCAAACATTGAAATTGAGATTTCGGAATTATAAGACCTAACATAATTTCCAGAATTGCATTAGTGTCTTATAAAAAAATACTCCGGCATCACTCTTCAGATATTAGTCAATTTTATTTACATTTTATTCTAATGAATAATAGATTTTTCAAAAGCCTATTATTCATTATTAGTAAATCAAATTTATTTATTTCATATAAAATAATATTAATTCAAAAGACTTCAATCTTATTGAATTTTTTAAAACAAAATAAGTATAAAATTTTTTATTTGATTACTTTAATATCAAGCTTCATTGTTATTAAAATCCATAAATATACAAAATTCATTTTATTCAAAATCAAAAGTGATTAATTTCAGAAAAAATTATAAGTACAAATCATAGTTCTTTAACATATCTTCAATATGGATACTTCCTGAAATTCCCATTCAGTCATATCAGGAATATTTTCACATTTTCAAATTAATTTTTTTTAATCATTCATTTATTTATATTTAAAAATAAAAAGAAATAAATTTTTAAGTAATAAAATTAAATTTCCTTTTCATATCATATCTATTTTGGAATTTAACATAATTTTTATTACAAAATGTTTCTTTATATCTACAGTTGTGATACAATAAAATAAAAAAACTCTATAACATGTCTATACAGGTATACCTCGACTTACGTCGTTTCGAGTTACGTCGTTCCCGATTATACGTCGTTTGTCAAAAAAGTATATGGAAAAATAAAAATCAAGTTTAAGTCATTTTATTCGACTTTACATCTGTCCGCCACAAATATTGAAGTCGTAATATCACTAGAAAAGCATTTAATGCACATAAAATCATATTAAAATATATACATTTACAAGTATGTACTGTATTTACAGTACATGCATTCGTAAATTTAGATTACTTTTTTCTGTACTATATTAAAAACTAAAATTTATTTGTTTGTAAGCTTAAAATAGATCCTTATTAACCATACATTATTAAAAATCATTAATAAATAAAATACAGAACCGGAAATGGTAATTTATGGTTTAGCCTAATGACAAGTACATTTGGAGACAAGTAAATTTGACTTAAGTCGTTCTCCTGGAACCAATTACCGACGTAAGGCGAGGTATACCTGTATTAAAATTAATTGGTTAACTTTAATATAGTAGACTATGACAAAACTGGCAAGAGGATTAGTTTCAGCGTACTGCTCAGGAAATCCAAGGTCAAATCTGGACAGTCGAACAAATCCTAAGTATTCTTTTGTGTGGTCTGTTCCAGAAACATTAGGGCCGCTATTCCTTGCCACCTGGCTACTTGACTGTGGGTCTGGCCAAACCAACAATGGGCCTGAAAAAAGGCCCTCTTAGTGCCCACAGAGCAGAAAGAGTAAAAAACAGTAGACTGATAAATTTATCATTTCAAATTTGCTTATTCTACGTTAATTTAATAACCAGTTTATTATGCATTAATTAAAATATGAACAGTTGAATGAATTTAACTTTGATTTTATAAATTAGACAATTTTTTCATTATTTCTTAGCATTCATGTGTATTAAATTTCTATGCCTTAACCAGTTTTATTAATCTTTAACTATTAAATTGATTATAAACTTAATGTATGTTAAGTATAACTTAATTATACAATTTTGTAAATTATAAAACAAAGTTAATTAAAATTATATGTACTTTTTACAATAAACAAACAAATGGAAGATATTTTCTTCCATTCTACTAAAATTCATTGTTAAACTGTTAATTAAATATTATTATTTATATTACTTTATATCAAGTGAGACTATTTTTACTTTAAAATTTCACTTATACCTCTGTGATCAATAAGTATTAAAAAGTTCAATAAAACTTGAGATTTGAATTTATTCATCAAAAATTTATTTTGTTTCCTTCAAAAAAATCCCCTGTCACTGAAATGCACTTATGCTAACGTTTTTTCCAATCCTAAAAACATCCTTTAGTCATTTTTGTAAAAACCCCCTTCAAAAGTCAAAACAAAATTTGTTTTAACGAGTAGCATCAAATGACTCAAAATGGTCACCACCAAGTAGAAATTTTAGTCGAGGAAATGGGAACAAGTCACAGGGTGCTGTATTGAATGAAAACAGAGCTTGCAAAACTATTTGTTGAATTTTTGGCCAAAAATTCACAAACAACAAGAGCATTGTGAACAGGTTCATTATTGTGGTGCAAAATCCACTAGTATTCTCATCACAAATTGGTAGTAGTCTACAAATTGCTTCATGAAAATGAAAAATGCTCAAATAATATTGTTTGTTGATAGTTTGGCCAATTGGAAGGAATTTGTGATGCACAACACCACAACAAATAAAAAACACAGTCAACATGACCTTGATTTTTGATTGATTTTGATGTGGTATTTTTTTGATCTTGCTTCACCTTTCCAGTGCCATTCAATTGTTGAGTCATTTTTGTGTCAAAAGTGTAGATCCATGTTTCATCATCCATAATGATGCATTTTAAGAACAATTTGCCTTGAGAAAGCATTCCCTCAGCCACTTGAACACATTGTTGTTTTTGGAAAAAATTCAACATTTTCAGGGCAACTCAAGAAGCAACATGCTGCTAGCCCAAATGATACTAGAACATGTCCAATAATTGTTAAACGACAATCAATGAGCACCAAATCTCTTACTCGAGAGAATGTTGTTCATCAGTTGAAGTAGATGGTCTATCAGAGCATGGTCCATCTTTGGTGTGTTCTCTGTCTTCCTCAAACATCTTGTACCATTCAAAAACTTGTTTTTGATAAACTATCACCACCAAAGGCTTTTTGTAACATTTCCAATGTCTTTGTGGCAGTAATTCCATTCAAAAAACAAAATTTAATGCATGTTCTTTAATCGATTACACTCAACATTTTGAAAAATCACCAATGCAAAAATTTTTACATATAAAACTAGGATTTATTTGCAAACAAACGTAGACAATGATATACAGATTGCTGCTAAATGTCAAAGAAAGTCATACTGAATGACAAAAAATAATGACAGTGTTCTCTTGCATGCATGCAGTTTAAATGAACCATTCCATTAATGTGATACTTTTTGATCACAGTAGTAAATAATTCTTATAATTACAGAATAATTAATTATTATTTTTTTAAATTTAGAAGTATTTAATACCTTAATTGAGTGTAATTGCTGCAATAAATTATTTGATGATTTAAAAACAAAAATTCTACCATCACGACCTGAGGAAAATATCTGCATTTTATGTTCTTTAATGTCAGTAACTCCATTTTTACTATGAATATGATGAAATTTTTGATTTGGATCCTGTTAAAAAAAATAAGAATATGTAAAAAGTTATATATTTTCTGACAATAAAATTGTATAAATTATAATAAATTTCAACAAACCTTAGAATCAGAATTGTATACATAAATATTTCCATCACGATCACCAAGAACGAGAGATCCATATGAATCCAAAAGAGCAGCTGACATCCATCTTTGTTTACAAAGTGGAAGAATAAAAGTTGATTGTTTTTCCAAATCATATTTATCAGAATTTCTCAATTTCCAAAGTATCTAATAGAAATAATTTAAATAAATAATTAAATATTTTTTAATTAACAAAAGAATTACTGGTTATTTCATATAACTGATTATGAAATTAAAAAGATATAAATATTTATAACCTATAGTTCAAATAATTTAATTTACCTGTTTTAATTTTTTACTCTTTCTGTCCCATGGGCACTAAATGGATCTTTTTCTAGACCCATTATAGGTTTGGCAACGCGCACAATTTGGGCAGCCAGGAAGAACAGAGCCCAATATAATCAGGACAGACTATTTGAATAATTTCTGAGGTGCCTAATCTGAGGCCAGATTCATAAACACCTCATATCATAAGTCATGATAAATTTCCTTGTAGGTTGTCAGATATAAAAAATTTTGTATTCACAAAGCACAATTATGTATGTATGTAACTAACTGTTTGTAAATTATTTGAAAAATCTTACCATTTCTCCAGCAGGACCACAGGATAAAATAAAATTTGAATCTTTTGTGATCCATAATAGATTATGAATTTTTCCTTTATGCAGATAGATTTCATTTCTTCTAGTAATCTTGCTATCATCTTTAATTTTATCAAATATATATAAATTTAAACTCATAAAAACAACAAAGAAAATTATTATAAATTTTCATTAAAATATAACTTAGATTTAAATTTACAAATATAATTTCTAAGAAAATATTGATGGAAAGATTGATAAATATTTTTTGCTAATAAATCTTTATTAATCATATAAAAATTTAAATATTTTTATCTACTAAATTGCCAAACGATCGCCTAAATATCGGGCTATAATAAGGCGATCGTTTGGCAATTTTAGTATGTATTCAGGCTTTGTGTTGTTGTTATTTATTTTTATCATTGTCATATCCTTAGTCCTAGATATCCAAAAACTGATAATATTCTGTTTCAAGTTTAACTGATCAGAATAAAAAATAGCAAAGATGTGTCTTTGTTTAATGGTTAGACAGATTATCATAGATTCTAATTTGAATGAAACATCATATTTATAGCAATTTTGCTATTATACTATAAATACAGCAAGTACTCACTTCATGTCCTCTCATTATAACTTTGTTGAGAAACTATACATTTGTAATCATTTGCAGTTAGTGTTGTTTAATTTTCTTATAAACAGTAAAACTGATTTTTTGAGGTGAAAAATAAATGCTGGAGGTTGCAAACACAATCCAATTATAATAGTATTAACTGAATTACATCTTGTTTATATCATTTAGCCTATGGTAAAATTGGTTTTGTTACATACTGTTTTGCTTAATGTCACAGTTTCCAAGAACCTATTGATGACATTAAGTGAAGACTTTTTGGTGTTTTCATGATGAATTTTAATAATAATTTATCTGAAACTTTTGCTGATATTATTCCATTACACTTTCTCTTTTTATCTTTCATATATCCACCAGAAAATATTAAATAAGTTGTTAGAGAGTATTGATTATTATACAATGCATTAAAAATTTAAATTCTTAATGTTTCATCCAAAGTTTAGAAATGTAGACATTGATTTAATTATATTCAAATTTATGAATATATTATAAAGGAGACGAACATAATTTCAAAAAATAAAATAATGATTTATATACTTTATAAGTAATTTTCATATTATGAAAGAACAATTGAATTTTAAAACAATGCAAACAGTTAATATTAAATTTATTTAAAACACTTTATAAATTATGATATACCTCATACCTGTAAACTGAAACAGACATGCCTTCCCAGTTATGTTTCCAAATATTAATAATTTTCCACATGGAGAACATGCTAATATATTATACGAATAAAATTCTTTATCTTGAAAAATCTGTTTCCATTTATTATTTTGTAGAGAATATGAAAATAGCATCCTAAAAAAATATAAATATAAAAAGAAATATTAATTATTCAATATGAATATATTTTTTATAATATTCAATTACCAGGTATATATATAAAAATTTATGAAATTAAATCTGATTTATCATTAAGATGAAAATTAAGAATTTAATAAACTGATATGGTTAATGTTACTCCCAAATTAAATTCTTAACTTGCTTTAGATAAAAATATTCCAGAATTTTTATCTGAAACAGGTCATTCAGCCTGAACTCTCAGAGTTATTTTTTATTTGAAGTTAACTTTTAGTTTATGTTTCGTATTAATTATTGACAATACAGGTATACCTTGAGTTACGTCGTTCTCAATTATACGTTGTTTGTCAAAAAAATGTATGGAAAAATAAAAATCAAGTTTAAGTCATTTTATTCGACTTTACGTCCGTCCGCCACAAATATTGAAGTCGTAATATCACTAGAAAGTTGTTAAAGCACATAAAATCATATTAAAATATGTACATTTACAGTAAATGTTAACATAATTATCATAAGTCCTAGAGAATGAAACATGAAAACATTTGTTTTTCTGTCTTGTTGTCTTATTTAGCCATCCTTAAGTTCTCAATATTGGTGTTTTCCATGGTAGCTCCAATATCTACCATTTGACGTCACTCAATCAGCGCCACTCAATCTTGGTAAATTTAGTATAAATTAGTTTATTTTCTACTGTTGCAAGATAATTTTAATAACTGTATTTGTTATTTAACCTTACAAAATCATCTTATTTTATAATGTCTTAAAGCAAATCACATTCACAAATAAAGAATTTGTGATGTACTGTAAACATCACCAAATTGTAAACATGTACATTTACAAGTATATAATGCGTGTACATAAATTCATAAATTTAGATTACTTTTTTCTGTACTATATTAAAAACTAAAATTTATTTGTTTGTAGGCTTAAAATAGATTCTTGTTAATCATATATTATTAAAAATGCATTTATAAATAAAATACAGAACTGGGAATGGTATTTGTGGTTTAGCCTAGTGACAAGTAAATTTGACTTACGTCGTTTTTCGACTTAAGTCACCTCTCCTGGAACCAATTACTGACATAAGGCGAGGTATACCTGTATAATTATTATGTAATACATTTTGAGAACAGGAGCAAGTCTAAATTATTATTTAAATTATAAAATTCTAAATTGTTTTATCTTATATATATGATTTATATAAGCTAGTTATAAAAAACAATTTAAAACTCAGAATAATATCTATAATATACTATAGATGTAAATTTAAATTTTAAATGTGTTTTTTTTTAGAACAGTCCCTTTTGTGAAATTTGAAGATTTCCTTTTAGATCCAGGAAGAAGATTTCTTCTTAATTGGAAAAAAATTTCTTAAACTAACCTCTCTGTCTTAATGAGCTACAATGAATTATCATCATTTATACTTTTAAATATAATCTTATACAAATTTTAAAATTGTTTACATCAATTATAATATTAATTAAATATTTAATATGTTTCTGGCACACTCACATTTATTTATATTCACATATTTTTATTTGTTGCTATTATTAATTACTTTTAGTTTGCAATCAATTTTAAAATAAAATATAGACTTTAATAAAAAGTAAAATACATCTGGATAAGAGTCCAATTTTGCTTGCCATGTCCAATCACCAGGAACAACTATTTCCATTGCAGAGACAACCTTTCTTTAGAGGCTATGCCTCTGCACAAATATGCAGAGTTATAAGGTTGTCTCTGCAATGGAAATAGTTGTTCCTGATGATTGGACATGGCAAGAAAAATTGGACTCTTATCCAGATGTATTTTACTTTTTATTAAATTGTAATTCTGCCAGCCCTTTTCTACAAAAAAAATATAGACTTGTTTTAATCTGAAAAATTTTTATGTATTAGTTTTTTGTAAAAGAATTTGAAAAATGAAAATAGTTTATTACAATGTTGTTGCTATCTAATTTAAAACTAATTTAATTTAATTTTTGTTAGTAAAAATAATTCATGACATGACTTAGCAAATAAAGATTTTTGATTTACTTTCATTATATACAAAATTAGATATCAGTGCCAGTGAAAACTCACAAATAGGAAGTAATGTCATAGTCATAGTCATATGCATATACATTTCTTCAAGAAGGCTTTCTTGAAAGATCTGCTGATATTTTTCTACATTCACTGTTCCTTCAATAAAATGCAGAATACCAAAACCTTGAGCACTCGTGCAACTCTATACCATAATGCTTACTGGCAACTTTGTCGCATAATTAAGGCATTCAAGAAAAAAACATTTGTGTCTTCTTTGCAACCTTATTTTACCTTGTAAAATTAGTAGCAAATTTCTGCATATAAATCCAACAAGTCACTTTAGTAATTTGTTTACCGCTGACTGCATTCCATTCAATAACCAATTCTGAAAGTAATGTTTGCTGGTTTTCTTTGATGATTCTATGAAGAACCTGAGATTGAAACTGCTAAAATTTTCAATCATCCTGTAAATTTTCCTGGATCACTGATACCAGTTTCTTCATACTTTATAAAATATTAGAAGCTGTTGATTTGCCAATTTTTAACTTTGAAACTATTTGATATAAGAACTTTCTCTCTTCATCAAAATTTACAATTACTTCACTAATATCATCTGTTATTGCTTTTCCAGATGCCTTTTTTTTACTAATTTATACTAAATAATGTAAATTAATATTATTGACTATTAATGTATACATATTAGTTAATTACAAATAGATAATATCTAATTAAATTTCTTATGACTGCTGTTTATATATAAATATTATAAAGTCTCTGTAAATCCTCACGAAAAATATATAAATTTTAGGTTTAGCGGTAGGCCAACACACAGCACATAGCTAATTACTTCTCTTAATTTAATCACTGTATATGCATTTCAATCCTATTAAAGAACCCTCTTCAGTACTACAAAACATAAATATTATAATAAACCTTATGCGAGTAAAACTACCAATATAACAATTAATATTTTAGTTTTTCATTACCATTTAGGTACACAGCTTTGAATACACATTCCATTAGCACTTTAATATCAAGTGTATTTAGTAACGTTTTCTGATTATCTATAATAAATATTATTCTAGATTAAATCTTTATCTATAATTTTTAATCTAGAATAATATCTAGAATAATCTAGAATAGAAAGATTTAATCTAGAATAATATTTATNACGACCATAGACAATCAGAAAAAGTTACTAAATACACTTGATATGAAAGTGCTAATGGAATGTGAATCAAAGCTGTGTACCTAAATGGTAATGAAAAACTAAAATATTAATTGTTATATTGGTAGTTTTACTCGCATAAGGTTTATTATAATATTTATGTTTTGTAGTACTGAAGAGGGTTCTTTAATAGGACCAAAATGCATATACAGTGATTAAATTAAGAGAAGTAATTAGCTATCTGCTGTGTGTTGGTCTACAGCTAAACCTAAAATTTATATATTTTTCGTGAGGATTTACAGAGACTTTATAATATTTATAGATAATATCTAATAATATTTAAATATGTACAGTACTATCCAAGGTATTTTTAATCAATGCTGAAGGTGTCCAAAGTTATTTTGTTATCTGTGATTTCTTTAAATAATTATTTTTTAATAATTTATACAAACATTTGAGCTTTTAGTGTGTTAATTAAATTTATTGATATTATGGTTTAATTTAGAATAATTTTTGTAACCAAGTCTGCTTCACTTATATTTTGCTATCTGTAAAGTAAAATGCCACTAATAATCAAGAAATGTCTAGGTATTTTTCATTCAAGGTATTATTTGGGTTGTATTTATAACACATAAATATATATACAAACAGAAAATGTACACTAGACTTTTCAGAATTCAAACTTTTAAATTATAGCTATAACTATAAATGAGACAGTAATTTTGGAAATTTAAAATCACTTCTAAATACTTGTATCTTGTGTCATACATATTCTTAATATGCTGCTATTATTTTAATAATTTAAAAATATAAAAGTAAATCAAATATTTATCAAATTTCAATTTACCTTACAATACATCCCAGTTAAAATATATATTGTTGATTTATAATATATAAACATATTGGTATAAATGCATAAAAAGTATATATTATAAAATATTCTTACTATTATAAGAATAGAAAATAATAAGTGAATTTTAATTGAAATATATAAATACTTGAAAGTATTTCCACAGGCAAAAGGCAAGATAGATAATCTTGCCTTTGATCTTTAGAGAGTCCCAATTAATGTGATGTAAATATCATATTGCCACTATTCTTTTAATAAATTAATTTAATTTACAATTAGTGTAATTAATTATCATAATTTCAAACAAATTTTGCATACCCTTCATTAGTTGACATAAAAATGACCGGCTGATCATTTGGAAACAGAAGACCAATATTACGAGGAAAATCATTTCTGTCATCATTCTAAAACATTTAGAATATAACTGTTTTATTTTTAAAAGGAAAAGTCAATAAAAAATTTATAAATTACAGATTAATTTATCAACAAATAAATAATAATTAATCAATTTTTACACACTAACAAATTTATTTAAATAATTTAGTATAATTAACATAATTTTTCAAAACAATAATTCATTTACTTTGCAAAATTCTAAAAAGTAAACTGACATTAAATACAACTTAGTTTATAAATTTTCTCTTGTGATATTCTTTTATACATTGTTTTTATTAGAATTATATATACGGAATGTTACAAAAATAATGGGATGGCCATACATAGTCATACTACATTCATTGAAATAAAAAAAATTTATATAAGCATATGGTCTAAAATGACTTATTTATAATTTAGATGTCAGCAGTAAGTAGAATAAATAATGTACTACTATAATACATACTAAATGATGCTGATCTCATTATCACAGTTAAGTGTGTTGTGTGGGTTGTTTGTATTTTGCTAGTTTACCATCAAACATGTACTCAAGTTACATTTATAAAAACAGAGGATTATTCTTTCGGAGAGATGTTATACAAGCATTTGATGTATAGCATGGCATCCTGCAATATGGCAGAAGCAAGGCAACATTATGCAGAGTGGTTTCCCCATCAACAGTTACCAAACAAAAACACATTCAAATGATTACATAAGAGGGAAAATGGGATGTTTGATGCCTCCAGCCTGAAACTGCAAAAGATCCCAAAGTACAAGAACAATAGACTCAAAAGAACATTTGTTAGCTTGGGTAGAGGAATACTTGAATGACAGTACTAAAAGAATTTCACATATGAAAAGCATTAATCATGTGACTGTGTGACAACTTTTTAAAAATTCTCATCTGCATATGTATCAATTAGAAGTACAGACACTAAGAGAGGTCAACTTCCTACCACAGAAAGCCTTTTGCATCTAGCTGTTGAAACAATGTGACACTGGCTCTATTTTTTGCCATCTGTGCTCTTTCTTGGATAAAGCTGGCTTTACAAGAGACATTATCATCAATTTCCATAACTTGATGCATGGCAAGAAGCAAATCCTCATGCCTTTATCCAGGTACCAACATACCAACAATAGTTTTCTCTGAATGTTTGGGTGGGGATTATCCATATTTTTGATTGGCTCCTTTGTTCTTCTCACATGCTGGAGCAGGCAAAATTATTGATACTTATAAGAACAAAACATTGAAACAGTTGGTAGATGCCTGCTAGTTTGGTCGTTTTCAATTGGAGTGCTGTGGCCCACCAGGATACTGCAATGATACTTTAGATTTTTGAAAGAAGGCCAATACAACACCTGGCAATCTGCCAAGGAGGAGTGCTACCAAGGAGAACTCCCCCATGAGAAAGTGATCCTCCCCAAGGAGAACTCCCTACATGAAGAAAACCCACATGGCTGGAGTGTTGGTGAGATGCAAACCTGCGACCAGTGTTCAGTAGTTTTATCCATTTGATTATTGGTGAGACCTATTGCCCTGAAATATAGTGCCAAGCAGCACCATAATGCTTCTTACATATATTACTAAAAGTACTAATAACATAATAATTCTATATTGATAAAGAAGTAAGAGTGCTCCAAGAAAAAATTATCAAGTTGGAAGTGCCACTATTGGAAAAAAATTGAAAAATACTATGCTATCCATTACAGTGTGTATGTGGTTCATGAGTGACAATGCATCTGCCCACTTCAGTCATGTAATTCAGGAATATTTGGGGCAACTATCCTGTAAAATGGATTAGACATGTAGAACCTATATCTTGACCCACACAGTCTCTGGATCTCTATCCCCTTGACTTTATCCATAGGGTCATTTAAAAGTGTATTCTATTCAAGTTTACAATATTGTGAATCTTTGCCAGAGAATACAAAATGGATGCTTGAAAATTAGAATTTTCAGGTATCCATTTTTTGAATGGGTAACGCAATCGTTGGTACAATGGGCTCAACAGTGCATTGTTGTAACAGAGAGTATTTCAAACTTCTCTTCTGAAAAATCCACCATACCAGTAATTTTCTTAATTAATTTGGCTTTATTGCTGTAATTTTTCATGCTATTATTTGAACTGAACAGAGGTATTTTATTCTTCAAACAAAAACTGGGTATACTTCAGAAACAACACATTTTAGACCATATGCATAAACTTTTTTAATTTTAATGAGCTATATTATTATGTAATATAAAAAATATTATGAAAACATTTATTATATATTAATTTAATGAATATCAGTTTGAGATAGAGTAAATAAAGTTTTAGCTCAGATTTTATTATACAACAACATAACATATTGACACTTTAATATCACAATGTCTTCAAGATCCTCCTGAAGCTACAACACTTCTACTAACATCCATACCACTTATTGAAGCAGTCATCAAAACTAAATTTTATGATACAGTAAACTCACTTTAAAACAAACACCAATAAAGTACATTTTGCCACTGTCTTGGAATAACACCATTTTCATTCAACTCAAAAAATTTTACTAAAAATTGTTAAACCTAACTGTAAATTACCTTAACTTCCTAGAAATAACCCTATTTCCAATAATAACTGCTTTCTACACTTTTTAACATGAACAATAAAAAGTAATACTGTAGAATGTTCCATTTTCAGTACAATAGATTTTCTTCCAGTAAGCAAAGACTGGTTCAACCTCCAATTGTACAGCAATTCAAATGCCTGGCTTTATCAGACGATTCTACCATACTCAGAAAATAGGTATTAAAGATTAAGGACTCCCACCCCTTTAAAGGGATGCAGTCCTGTGCAAATACATGCTAGTTTGCATATCGGGGTTCATACAATGATGCTAAGTTGGCTACTTTGTGCCAAATTTGGCTCCTTTTAAACTCTTTTGGCACCAAAAAATATTTTATACTTCTTTAAACAATCCTCAATAAGAAAAGTTATGGATTTCTTTAGTTTTGTTTAACCATTTTGATATGCTGCTCCACACTTCAATGGCAAATACTGTCCTCCTCATTTTGTTTGATTTGAAAATCATTTAAAACATTAATTTGTTTGTGTAAATAAATTTAATTTTATTTAACTTAATTTAATAAATCAATCAAAATATTATGATTTAGATTTTTTGATTGCCTAAGCTTTAACTCCCTAAACTTGATCCTGACTCTAAAAATTGTTAATATGAATTTTCGATAAAGAAAACTAACTACTGTTCCCTTAGCAATTCATATTAATGTGAGTTGACTGTATCTTTAAAAGTTTTCATTGTTGTAGCTTTCTCCTATGCTACTGATTGGAACCTTAAATAAGACCCTTCAACTTCTCTTTCTTTTTAGGGAACAAATAAGTCTGTGAAACAAGATCAGGAGAGTAAGAAGATTAGCAAAGCATATTTATGTTCTTCTTGGTCAGATTGACTAGATTTCATTTTTCATGATCCACAAAATGTGCAAGAATAATCTCATGATAAAGATTCCGGTTCTATCCCTTTTGTGCATTAGATCACTTTCATTGTACAGATTCCTTCACATAAATAGTAGAGAATTTCAATACATCTTTTCTTATTAACAGTCTGATCTCTAGAAATGACTTTGATATTTGCTTGCATCCAGATGCATCATTTCTCATTCACAGATTTTTTTCTAATACTATACTATTCATATACATATTCAGTCTTAATGCATTGCTCATAATAAGTGATGAACTTGACTTACAAGAAACTGATATCTGTCTCTCATAATTGCATGTAATGAAAAATATAAACATTCAGTTCATTCTTAACTCTACCTCAAAAACAAATGTATAGACTACCATTAAAAATATTAATGCAATCTTATAAACAAAATCAAAATTTAATTACTAAACCTTTTACAATCATAAATTTCTGATAGTAAAAGTATGTTTTTGGAAACCAAAAACTAAACAACTTATCTGATATAAAAAAAACAAAGAAAATGTAAGACTTGCATCATTTACATATTCTTAATTTATAATTCTTAACTTTAAGGTTTTTAAAGAGAATAAATATAATTCTAAAATTTTTAAATTACTCTCTCATTGTATTGTTTTAAAGTAAATAATAATTTACCTGTGGAATTTGTAGTCTTGTGGCATTTTCTCCAGATATGAATTCTTTTAAATGCCAAAGAATCACCCCTCCATCACTTCCTCCTGTGGCCTAAAATTTTAAGTATTAATGTTAAATCCATTTTAAATATTTTTACTATGCAAAGATCTATAAAAATTTTAATGTTTAACAAATTTAAATGTGGCCACCTAACCCTTCAAAGTTGTCCTCCCCTGCATTTGTACAATAATCACATCACTTCTGCCAAGCCTCAAACCTTCTTGGAAATCATTACTTTGAAAATTCAAAATACCTGTTGTGATTCAGACTGGATCTCCTTGATTGTATCAAAATTCCATCTCTTGCATTTCAATTTTATTTTTGGAGAACAAAAAGAAGTCACAAGAGGTTAAATTCAACAAATAAGGAGGACTGGAAGACTGTCTTATTGTTTTATGTCAAAAATGTTCACATTTTGAAAACTTTCTGTGAGGAAGTGTTGTCATGATGAAAGAGCCAGGTTTGGTTGCACTACTGTCTTGGTCTTTTGTAACAAACATTCTCTTCAATTGACTTAAAATGTTGCAGTAAAAGTCTGAATTCACTGTCTCAACAAGAGGAACAAATTCCTGGTATACAATTCCATTGCAATAAAAAAAAAAATTTGGCATGCCCTTTGTCGTGTTTGTGACAGATCTTGCCTTCTTGGATCTCGGAGATTGTGGTCTCTCCCATGGCTTAGTTGCCATTGGCCTCTCAAAACATTTCAAGGGTTTTTGTGGCAGATTTTCAAAGTTTAATGCAAAATTTAACATCTATTCAATTTTTAAGTTCATTCTCAAATTATAGTACAATACTAACACAATGTTACAGAATCACTTGTAGCAAGTGTTCTGGTTTGAAAAACTCAACCCTACTGGAAGAATGATCATCAAATATCTTAGACATTAATCTTTGGTGGGAAAAAGACTGTATTATGGCTATTGCCAAACAGCAGAAACTGTCTGGTTCCTCTTTGATGGAACCAGACTGTTTCCATTATTATATGTTTAATTTAATATGTTTAATACATTATTATAGTATAGCTAAAACATATAATAATGATATTATAAATCAGAAAAATTTGTTTTTTTAATATTTAACAAAGTTAATAAAACAAAAATAACAATATATTTTGAATTTTAATTACATATGAAAAGCATGATTATATTTCTAAGAAACATGATAAGATGAAAATTACAAATACCTCGTAATAAACAACTTGTATTTTCTCGATTATAATGCAAACCCAATTTTCAAGATGTCAAAATCCAAAAAAAAGTTAACTTGTGAATGTAATGTGTGCTTTACATCATCAAACATGCTACTGTGGAAAGTTAATGTATTGAAAAAGTAATATTCAAAAATGCATTTATTACTTCATTAGAAGGTGTAAAACATCTGAGGACTATCAGAAAATCAATGTTTTAACAGAGATTTCTTGTCAATATGCACAAGCATGAAATTTTTCAGATATGCAATATCTGTGTACATGTTTGACATAGATTCTCTATAGAATTAACCCTTTCACATTCTACACAATTTTTGCTGTTTACCATGATATGCTTTTGAAATAAAGTAAATATTTTTAATGAAAATTAATTTATAGTAAGAAGAATCATCTGCTTAATATCTTTCACTTGGCTTACTAAAACTAAAACTGAAACTGAAGTAGCAGAATAGACAGGTAACATGTCTACACCAACAACACAATATAGAAATTGTCAAGCAGAGTAAAGGGCAAATGATACAAATGAGGTTTTATGCATAAGTTTAATGCACAAAACAATTCTACTGCACATTGCTATTTTGAGAACTGGAAAAGTCCAAAAAAGATGTGCATTAGAATTAAGAAACCATGTTAGTTAAGCAAAGTACTTTACCTCATTATTTTAAAATAATAAAATTTTTCTTGTTTATTTGTGAGGCTACGAGGGCACAGGTCAATTCCCTAATTGCCACTTACATGTCAAGTTGGTAAAACTTGCCCACGTCATTCAGATGGCTTTTATTGACTGGCAAGGGAAGTGAGCAAGTCAGCAGGCGTCCTTTCAAAGACAGGAGACAGGTTTAACAAAATAACAAAGCATTTATTATATGGCTAACACTAAAATACAGGAGGCTACACAGAGTTAAATGCATATATCTCTAGGTTATATAGGCTAAATGCAATTAATATACAATTACAAAGTCTATGATTGACAACTGCTTAGTCTATTCTATGACAGCTATGCCTACTTCTGTTACAAGAGAGAAAGTTCGCAGTCCACTGATAATTACCTCTGAAGTTGGAGGAGTCCTATATCAGTGATGACAGTTCTTTATGAAGCGTTGGACGTTGTTGATGTCTTCTACCATTGTCTTCTCCAGGGACTAGGACGAGTCCGTTTCATGGAGGTGTGGGAGACAGGGAATCACTAAGACTAATTATAACTTCCGTGTGCGAACTCTCAAGCTTCCGGTGGCTCGCACCTTTTATATCATTGTCGTGGGAAATCTAACGCGTGATCGACTTTTGTTGACAATGATGGTGCATTCTTGCCAGCTATGTGTCAACTTTCCCACAAATTAGATCAGAGGTCACCGGTTGTAGTAACAAGTCTTACTACAACCGGTGACCTCTGATCTAATTTCGCCCTCTCCATTTTTTCTAATGAAGATGTTTATATTGTGAAAACAATTGACATTAATTTTTGAATTTTAAGAACCCCATAAAAATCAGCGGGCTCACATACTCATTTCATGTTATGTCATAGAACATTAACTTAAAAATATAAATTCCATAATATGCAATGAATAATTTTAAAAATAGTGTAATTAATCAATCCAAAAAATAATATATGTGCTCTAAGTAATAGTAAAGCTTAAATACATCAAAGCAATAATATAGAATGTCTGAAATGTCACTATCTATTTTGAAAAATAATTGGAATTATGAAAAGTTTGTTTATATATAAAAATATATTTATTTTAAAGTATATGCCATAAAAATAAATGCTCCACATAGTGACCAAAACTGTCTCTACAGAGCTCAAAACAATAAGTTGCTTCCTAAAACAATCTTTCCAGCATAGTAAGTCACAAATAGCCTTGTCTCACTATTCATGACTTGTTGGACCTTTCTTATGCAACTTTCTCTCAAATTTGTCTCTAATTTTCTCACTTTCAAGACTTTTATCCTGTACATTACTACAAACATTCTTTCTTCTGTGTTCATCATCAGTGATATGACTCCAAATGGAAAATTTAACAAATGTACAAAATTCAAAAAAACCAATTAACATTTTGTAAATACATAAATTTGCATCAAGTACATATCTTTGACAGCATAGCATTGTTTTCAAAAAGCATTTAATGTCACTGAAATAAACTGACTTTTGAAACACCCTGTAAGTATTTGAAATAAACCAATAATCTAGATTTTTATACTAGATTCCAATGCTCAAACTGTGGTTTCAAGTCATCTCCCCTTACCACCTCCCCTTACTTATAACAGCGTTAACATATACAGCTATTATGGAACCAGTTTTAGATCCTATAAGTTCATCTCTGCTTTGTCCCATCTTGCTTCTACTTTTTCAGCATCATAAGAGTTTCCACTAAGATCTTGTTTGGTCTTCCTTTAACTAAATCAAATTCTGTGGTTTTTGCCAATCCTATCTCTTAATATCCAATAGATACTCTGTGTATATTTGTCCTTACCCTGATTTCATATTTCAATTTCTATTTTGTATATTATGATTGTTAGTATGCTAACTTTTATAATTTTAAAAGTCAAATGGGTACAATATACTGTATTTAGTTTTAAAAATATTAATGCAATCTTATAAACAAAATCAAAATTTAATTACTAAACCTTTTACAATCATAAATTTCTGATAGTAAAAGTATGTTTTTGGAAACCAAAAACTAAACAACTTATCTGATATAAAAAAAACAAAGAAAATGTAAGACTTGCATCATTTACATATTCTTAATTTATAATTCTTAACTTTAAGGTTTTTAAAGAGAATAAATATAATTCTAAAATTTTTAAATTACTCTCTCATTGTATTGTTTTAAAGTAAATAATAATTTACCTGTGGAATTTGTAGTCTTGTGGCATTTTCTCCAGATATGAATTCTTTTAAATGCCAAAGAATCACCCCTCCATCACTTCCTCCTGTGGCCTAAAATTTTAAGTATTAATGTTAAATCCATTTTAAATATTTTTACTATGCAAAGATCTANAGAGATACCCAAGAGTCATAATCCAAATAAAAAAAAAATAGCTTTAAAATATAAAAAAGTGTAATTTTCTATAAATTAAATAAATTTTAACTTAACAAAATACATATAAAATTGTTCCTCTCTCCTATCTGTCAAAATAATGTCCAACTAATTGTATATATTAAGAATAAATTATTAATTGTAAATAAATTGCAAACAATATAAGTAAATTCTGCAAATTTTTCATGAAACCAGATGAAATATCCATATCTAATTATGAAAAACTTTGTTCAAAATTGTTCTGATAAAATCATAAAGTAGAAATATTTAAAAAGAATAAAATAAATTGTTACTACTTCTGATTTGAGACCACCAACAAGCTAACTTGAATTAATCTGAGACTCTTAATTTTATGGTAAGTCTTTACTAGAAGAACTTGCTTGTAGAATATATTATATATTATATTATATTTGCTGTTAATTAATGTATTTATACATTTCTCAGTTGTACAATTTTTGCATTTATAAGTTAAAAATTTTCTGCATGGTACTTTCTCCATTATAAAACACTTCAATTATACATTTTTCATTTATATGATTTCACACTTATACATCATATTTTTTAGTAGCCTACAGCACTTTTTTCTCACTTATACATTATTCACTTTAGAATGGAAAAATTTAAAGCTATTGTTAAAAAAACTGAAAAAGCAAATTATATATTCACTTAAGATTAGTCCAGCAAATTACCAACAAATATAAAAAGCAGAGCAAATAATACATAACAAGTAATGCCCATAAATGTCCTGATAAATTTTCCCATTTAAAGAATTGCTTTACCAGTCCAACATGTTGGAAATTTTCACTTTCCACATTTTGTGGTGTAAATCAATTTTTCTAAATGAATAAAAATCATTTTCTAATTTTTCATTCATTTTTACTGTTTGCTGTCAGTTTAACTGACTTTTAGTATGACTCTTCATTCTTTCCCATGACTGATGATTTGGCAGAGGAGACAACTGATATCCTGTACCAGTAAGTGAAAAGTCCATAAAAAAAAACAAACTTGACAAATTTATTATAAGTACTAGAGGAGCTTAACTCAATTGTTCAAAAATTTGGTGGCAATTCATCAATTCCCAGTGCCACCATTTCTATTTTTTCTTTTGTAATAAAAAATGTTTGTGATAAGTTTAAGCTAAGTATTTTTTTTATACAGAGTAGATACAAGTTCATTTTAGATTAAATTTACTTTCCATTTATTTGTTATTCAAATGTATTTTATAGGTAATAAATTAAAACTTTCTGTTAAAAATTATACATACAAATTCAGTTGTACAGTGTTAATTTGTGCCATGCTGTACTTTTGTGATGGTTATATTTACATTGAAAGCAATTTAGTAGTAGTTCCACTTATATAATATTTTTCTCAGTTCCCTTGAAAAACATAACTGAAGATGGACTATATTTATTTATATAATACAGTTATAATAATTTATTTCCATCTAATAAATAAATTATAACATTTTTAACTATAACATATTTTATAATTATTTAATTTTGACTATAAGAATTTTTACAATGAGTTAAATTTCAATTTCTATCATAAATTTATTTTTATACTTTATAATTTAAATATATAATTTTATCTGTGAATATCATAACTATAATTCAAAATTAGACTGTATAACAATATTTACTGTATGTTTAATATTGTATTGGTGCATAATACAAAACTTCTAAATAATATTACTCTTAATCTAATATTGACAAATTAATTTAAATTTATTTGTAACTAGCAGACCCCGCCACGCATTGTTGTGGCTCAAAATGTATCTATTATAAATGTATAACACTTCCCCGTGGGGAGGAAATTTTTCGAAAAATTTCTTCTTAGTGTACATTCTCTTGACATACCCTATTAAAACGCAATCAAAAATGCAAAAACATGCATCTAAAATAGTATAATAGAAGCCAAGTTCGTCACAGTAAGCCTTAATCCTAACCATTCCCCTTCAGTGGGGGAATTTCAACACATATATTATATAAAAACACGAGCGTATTCGAATGCAGCATTGTGTCAAAATTTCAAAGGAATCGGTAGGAACAAATAAACATTACATTTTTATTTATATAGATAGATAGATAGATAGATAGATAGATAGATAGATGATAATCTGCTTTAGTTCATTTTCATAGAAAAGCATAATGCCTCACAGAAAAGCAAACTTAGGACATCGTACTCGTAGCGTCATCTGTTGGACATAAAAGCCTTAACCTAGATTATATCTTTTAATTTATATGAATGTTTAATGGAATAATATATAGCCTATGTCCACCCTGAAGTTCCATTCTAAATATTGGTGAAAGAATTCTTGAAATCGGATGAGTAGTTTCGGAGATTACTCGCTACATCCAAACTTACTTACTTACAAACGTTACCTCTTTATAATAATAGTGTAGATTAATAAAAAGTTATTTTTAAAATATACAACAGCTCATCCAATTTTTCTTTCATTTCAAATTATTTAAATTGAATTAATGAATGAATTAATGAATAAAGATTTTATACTAAAAATTTTGTAATCAACCAAATTAATTAAGATTTATTTTATAAGATTCTATGCATTAAATACAAATATAATTTTTCCTTTCATTTTAATATTTTCTGTGAAAATATAAAATAAATTTTTAAATAAAACTACAAACTTACTTTTTCCTAAATATTTATCAATATGAGAATAGAATTTTAAAAAATATCTGTAAAACAATTACATTTATTTCTTCAATATTTTTTTATTGTCTTATATACATTGTATTTTTTATATGATCACATTGCTTTGCAAAACATTTTCCTCAGAAACATATAAATGTATTAATACAAAAAATAACTACTTTCAATTGTAAATTAAGAAACAATTGTATTGTTTACTTTATTGTTTACTTCATTTTCTGTATTAAATCTTAATTTATTGACAAAAAGGTAGAAATCATATGAGAGTAAATTAAGCTATGTAATAGATATGAAATAAATGCAAAATAAAGATTATATACACATTCATGTTTTAGTTTAGCTAATTCACTTAGTTTGTATTTTTATAAATATTAATAAAAATATTTTATAACAATGCAGTTATTTAAAAAATAAGATTTAGTCACCATTGATCAAAAACCTTTGTAAACTAAATTCAAATAAAACTGATATGATAATGATTTTTCAGTTTTAGATATTATTGATAGATCTGTAATTAAATTCATTAGTACAAAATCATACTACTCACTGAATGGCATTTTTCTCTCCTTATAAGTTTACCATCATAATTCCAAAAACAGATTGTTGAATCCTAAATAAATAATTTTTCTTTATTTAATAAATATTTATAAAGTAAACTATACTAATTCTTTTAATAGAATAAATTCTGTAAAGATAAATGCAGACAAAATAATATATACTATTATTATTATTGTTATGTTGGGTTTTGTGAATTATATACTCAGTTGACACCGGTGGCAGTGTACTTTGCCGGGCCAGAGTCAAGGTATAGTAACCAAAACAAAACTAAAATTAAAAAACTGTGTCAGTGTGTGTGTCTGTATTCAGGAATTTCCTAACAATATGATATTTATTCAATATAGTGGCCTTCTGTAGTGTGATGTATGTATTTCTATTCAATTGTAATGTTCCCAGGCTTTTGTGTAGTGTGTGTGGTATCACACCTGTACAGGAGAGAATGACAGGTACAGTACAATAAGCACCCTATCCATCCTCCAAAGATGCCTTATTTCCTGGGCTGTTTTATGTACTTGCTAATTTTTTCAGTGCTTGTGTTTTGTACATTGTGAGTATTTGAAATAGATATGTCTGTAATGTATGTGATTTTATTGTGTTTGTCAATGAGTGTGATGTCTGGTCTGTTGTGGTAAATTGTTTTATCTGTGATTATGATTCTGTTGTAGTAGATTTTGTGCATGTTGTTTTCCAATACTGTCTGTGGAATGTATTTGTAGTATGGTTCGTGGATGTCTAATAATTTGTGTTTATTTGCAAGCTCTTGGTGTATTATATTTGCTACTTGATTATGTCTGTGTAAATAATCTGCCTGTGCCAAGAGCTTGCAACCAGAAGTAATGTGTTGTATAGTTTCTGACATAATGTGACATTTTCTGCATATGTCATTCATGAGTGTTGTATCTTTGAGTATTTGTTTTCTGTAGTTTTTAGTAGTTATGACCTGATCCTGTATGGCAGTGTTTCTCAATGGGGGCGATATCGCCCCCGTGCGGGCGTTTTTCCATGGTGAGGGGGAGATTAGTAACAATTTATATTTTGGGGCGAAAAACAATTTTCTGGGCAATATAGTAAAACATTATATTAAGAATAATTAGATATTTTATTCGTTACATTGTACAATAATTAAACAAATAACATTATAGTAGTCACAAGTCTATCCAATGCAGTCAAATTTGGCGTTAGCCTTGGCCCTCGGCATCAGAATTTTGAAGTGAAGGGGTGATACTACGTAACAGTTTTATTGAAAGGGGCGATGATTTGTTAGAGGTTGAGAAACACTGCTGTATGGCAATCATAAATCCTTCCATCTCCCCAAAAAGACATCCCTGATCTAACAAGCTGTTTGACACAGTTTTGTCAACAAAATCTTGGGCCAGGTCATAAGGATGCCTACCATGGAGTGCCTTTTGAGCCCACGATTGCTTGATGGCATCTATGCTTTTTATATGTTGTGTCATGTCTGTATGATGTGAGTGTAAGTTTAATGGTGTGTTATTTGAGTCTGCTAGAGTTACTGTTTTTTGTAGAAAAACTCTCACAGTGACTGTATTTGTTTATAGTGAAGGTTAACTATGTCAATCAGGCCACATCTGCCATTTTTATGTGGAAGGGTTACTCTTTCTGTGGCGAATTTAGGATGATGTTTATGCTTAGTAAGTGTTCTTGTTTTCCTTTGGATTTGCTCAAGATATGTGTGAGTCCAATGTATAACTCCAAAAGAGTATGTGAGTACTGGGATGACATATGTGATTATTGCTTTAACTGTGTGTTTTGCATTTAACTGTGTTCTGAGGATAGCATTTAACCTACTTTGGTATTCTTTAATTAATCTTTGCTTTATTTGTGTATGTTCTGTTAGTTTGGCCTGTTGGAATCCTAAATACTTGTAGAACTCGCCCTCTTCCATGGATTCAATAATGTCCCCATTTCCAAGTGCAAAATCTTTCTTCAGAACTCCTTTTTCTATGTGAAGTGTTTTGCATTTGTCTAGGCTAACTCCATTTGTATGTCTTTGGTGTATGAATGTGTGATTTGTAGGAGTTGATGAAGTTGTTTCTGTGTGGATGCATAAATTTTTATGTCGTCCATGTACATGAGATGTGACAGCGTAAACTGTGTTGTTTTTTTATGTCTGATATTGTAGCCATATTGCATATTGTTTTGCATGTTGGATAATGGGTTCAAGGCTAGGCAGAACCAGAGAGGACTGAAAGAATCTCCTTGAAAAATTCCTCGCCTAATGAATATTTCATTTGTTTGTATGGAAGTGTTACTAACACCGAGATGTAGTGTTGTTCTCCAGTGCTGCATAGTGTTTTCGAAGAATGCAATGAGTGACGGATGAATTTTGTACATGTGTAGAATATGTAGCAGCCAACTGTGTGGAACACTGTCGAATGCTTTTCTGTAGTCTATATATGCCATGTGTATGTTTCTGTGTTGTTTGTGTGCTTGCC